ATTTGAAAGGTTAGTAACAATTTCATTTAAAAAAAGAATATTTATTTCACAATAACTGTTAACATGTCTACTGTTGTTATATTGCATTATTGCAGATTTCTAGGAGAGCTGAAAAAGAAAGTGACCAACAAGGCACACGTTGAGGCTTCAATTTGTCAAGCGTATCTTCAACAAGAAATCTCAACGTTCTCGTCTTTTTACTTCGAGCGTGACGTCATCACCAGAAGGAAGAGACCTGCCCGGAACGATGACATTGGCGAGGATTTATATGAAAATGTAGTTTCCATCTTCAATTACCCAGGCAGAGGTAAAGGTGCTGCGACACAACGATACATCGTGGGTGGGGAATTGCAAATTGCACATACTTATATCCTCATGAATTGTCCAGAAATCTCACCGTTTTATCAGTAAGTTAAATTTGTAGTTATAATTGTAATACTTATCAATTAAATTTGTAGATAATTTATAATTTTTTTATTTTTGAATTCACAGTGAATTCAGAGCTTCTTTATCAGCCTTTCCTGAGAATCAAATTGATGCATTGGTAGACTCTGATTTTGTAAATTGGTACAAGTATCAGGTATATATATACACACACATTAATTATATATATATTATTAAGTAAGATTTTTCAATATTTACCTAATGTTATTATCATGTTTATATTTACAGATCAATAGTCGTGGGATTGTCGACCCTTTGTTAGTATCATTAGCGTGGGGCCCTAGTGCCAGTGCCAAAGTGTGGCGGCAATATGTGATAAACGGTTACACATATCACACAGCCGATTACGGAGAGGGCCGACCAACAACGAACAGCGGGTTATGTGTCCCGACCATCGGTTATGATAACTCGGAAACCAATTTTTTTGGTGTCCTGCAGGAGATTCTGGAACTTGAGATGCCTTCTTGTGCGAAAAAATTGACATGCGTTCTGTTCCGTTGCACATGGGTCGACCCCACACGTGGCGTGCGCAAAAATCCGAAGTATAATATGATTGACGTCAACCAGTCTCGTGTGTACCCGAAAAATGAGCCTTTCATACTCGCCCAACAAGCAGCGCAGATTTATTATGCAGAATATCCTTCAACAAGGCGGACACAGAATCCTTGGGTGTGTGCATGTCCTGTCCGTCCGAACAAAATAAAATCACAAACTCAACACAAGGACGTTGATCTAGATGCTTTTCAGCAACAATTTTTCCAACCTCCGCCTATTGTTGAGACGGTCAACTATGACATCCAATTAAGTGATCCAAATGGCGGACTAGTTGAAGTCATGCCAGAAACGCACCTTCCAGACCCAACCATTCCATCTGAGCGCGAAATTGAGGAAATGTATGTAGCACAACAAAACGCTCAATATCAGGAAGAAGGTGAATGGATAGACGGTTCAGATACAGAAGAAGATACTGTATATGTAGAAAATGACGATTCTGATAGCGAATAATTGTGCTGTTGTAATTTCAATTTTATTGACTTCTAATATTTGTGCAGATTTCTTCATCATTATATTACTCCAACAATATTTGAATTTTTTTCTATCTTTATCATTATTATTTATGAACAAAAAATTACTCCATATTAATTCAACCACAACAAGTTTTTTATATCCATATTATAAATTCAAAATAAAATTTTTCACAATTCGAAGTTTGAAAATTAAAATTTACCCAATACCAAATATGAAATTACTCTATATTATATTCTTTTATTTTCAAATTCGAAAATTCAAATATTATTTTTGATTTTTCTAAATTCGAAAATTTATTTTAATAATTTTTAATAATTCGAAATTCGAAAATTAATTTTAATAATTCTAAGTCTATTTGAAAATTAACAAAATTCGAAAATTAAAAAAAAAAGTAATTTACTTTTACTAATCTGAATATTATAATAAATTTAGATATTAATAAACAACTAACAGAGATTTATTTATCAAATTTCAAAGATAAATACAAAACACACAATGAAATTGTCACATATTATTTATCAAACAACTAACATAGATTTATTTATCACATTAACCTAACTAACATTATTCATTCCTCAATCGGAAACTTTCAAGAGGCCTAGCCCACAACTCCTGAATTTTCATTCGAGCTTCTTCGTTGATCGGGTCCATATACTCTGAAACTTCTTGTGCACGTTGAAGCATCCGACACAAATTTCTTGCTTTTGACTTGCCCAACGAGTCGGATTCTTCATCTTTATAATCGCCAAAACTTTCAAGGGGTCTAGACATCAACTCCTTGATTCTCTCGTATGCTTCCACGGTTTTCGGCTCCATAAGCTCTGTAATCAGCTTAAGTCGTTTCATATCTCTACACATCGAATCCCAGTCAATTGGACCTCTATTAGCCATTTTTTTTACAGTTCACTCTTGGGCCGGAGAAAGATGATTTATACAAAAAAATTTCAAGTTGTCACGGTCTTAGTCACGGATAATTCCGTGACTAACCTGTCAGTCTGGCAGCCGGAGAAGGGTCAGGGCCGCCGGTCTAGTCACGGTTTTAGCCGGAGAAGGAACACTTGCTGCTTGAAGCTTTTTCTCTGCTCGATCAAATCGCTAGGAACCCTTGCTGCTTGAAGTGGATCCTCTGCTATCGACGCCACACCTTCACTACTTCACCGAAATTCTCAGGTATGTTCTATTTGCCAAGCATTTTTCGTATTTTGTTGTAATCTGCTTCACTCTATCTCCGCTCAACATTTGGCCTCTCTGTCTCTCAATCGTATTTCACATTCCCTCATATTGATTCAATTTTTCTTTGGATTTTTTGTGAGATATGGATTTTATACCTGCTTCTTCGTATGATTTTTTCTTCAATTTGTTATTCATTTTCATGGAATCATTGTTGGGTATTTAGATTTGAGATTTTTGATATTTTTTGAGCAAGCGTTTATTCACCCATCATTAATTACAGGCTTATTTTATAAATTAAATTCCACTATCTGATAGAATTCTTTTCCAAAATGGTGGTGATATATTTAGTCGCGATTGTATATGTATGTCTTAATTAATCAATCTATACTTTCCAGATTTAATTGGCTGCAATCTTGAAGAACTAGTAAGATTTAATCAGCCTACCCCCCCCCCCCCCCCCACTGAAAGTAACTGGTCTCCAATTTTTTTGACATCTGCTATAAATTAAATAGAGTGCATTAGTTTTGTTTTTGGATTCTGTAGGATCGAATTGAGCTATATTTAACAAACTAATGTAATGCTCCCCAGTCTCATTTAAAGTGAGTGAGATTTTTGTTTTTTGGCTAAGGAGATTCTTTGGTAAAAAAAACTAGAAAGCAGTTAAGTAGGCATTTGGAATGTCATACACCATTTCAGAAATACTTTTGTTTTATGCAAATGCATTTCAGAAATACTAGACAACAATTTTTCCTAATTCATTTCAACCAATCAAGTATTCAATTGCAAAAGTCTATTACATATGGAGTATAAGATAACTTTGTTCTTCTGTCAAAGTATATTTTGCCAACCAGATATATAGGTTTACAAAATTGTGTCTGCAAATATGAGATGACATGAAGAAGTGCAGCAACTGCAAAAGTCTATAACATACTGAGTATAAGATAACTCAGTTCACTTTTTGCATCAAGACTTGTGCCTTTTCACTTTTTGATGGTCAAACTTTGAGATGAGTACTCTTTTTATATAGTTTTAAAAATATTTTTACTTTCTTTAAACTCAAATCTTGAAACTTGACTGAATAAGGGACTTATTTGAAACTTTCAAATCTTGAACCTTTCCTTAAAAACTATCTTTGAGCAAATATCAGGGTAATTCAGTCTGAAAAAACTCAACCCTCTTCATAAAAATATATAGAAATATATCTCCATTCTTTTATTTGTGAATGAAGCTTAGATAAAACTGACTGATTAAGGCACTTATTTGTAACTTTCGATTTGAGCCAAAGATCAAGGTGAAAATTTGACAGGTAAACTTGTTGTCAGAAAGATGACTTCCACACCTTTTCCACTTCAAATGTTAGTGGCTATACACATATATGCATGACTACCTGAGTTCTTTACTTCTAATTTTAGTGACTTACAACCAGTGAGTATTTGCAACTTCTCTGTTGCTCAAAATTTTATTTGGAACATGACTAACAAGTCCATCACTTTATATTAGCAACCTAAAAAGTGAAAACAGCCTTGATTTATTATCTTTGTTAGGTAAGTATTAATTTTTAGGAAAAAATTGTAAGTCATTAATTGTATTTTTGTGATAATAGGTAACATCTTTGCTTCTTCAATGTACTTTTGTTAGAAAATATAAAAGTACAAAGGACTATTTTCCCTCTTTCAATTTTTACTGACATATTATTAGAATTCTACCTCTTATAGATGGATGATGCACGCATATTGGATTTGCATACAAAGATACAAAGACTGCAAATGGCTACAATTTATGTTGTATGCATTGTAGTTTATTATTTCATAACCAAAAGCGCTCGAAATAGAAGACCAAGTCATGCTCTAATCACAGAGAGAGAGAAAGAACGAACTAAAACGATGAAAAAACTTGATACTAATGAGGGTCGTAAAATAATTAGAATGGGTCCAAAAGCTTTTATGGACCTATGTGCCATGTTACAGAGAGAGGGTGGTCTTTTGCCAACACAACGTGTGTGTGTATAGGAACAAGTGGCAAAAACTCTACATATCCTAACACATGGTATAAAAAGTCAAGTGGTTCAGTTTTGGTTTCAACGTTCTGGTGAAACTATAAGTCGCCATTTTCATCGTGTGCTTAAAGCAATTATTGCTCTAGAGGGAAAGTATCTCAAACAACCGGATGGCTCACAGATACCTTCAAGAATACTAGGGAGCAGTCGATTTTATCCTTATTTTGAGGTATAAATTATTTTAATTTTTAATTTAGAAACATAATTTTCCGATAAAAATAATTAATACAATAAATTCACAATTTTAGGATTGTGTCGGGGCAATCGATTGTACTCATGTTCGTGTAAAAGTGCCATCAGCTGATGCTCCTAGATACCGAGGTAGGAAAGAATTCCCAACACAAAATGTGTTGGCTGCGTGCTCTTTTGACTTGCAGTTTACTTACGTTTTGGCCGGGTGGGAAGGAACTGCATCAGATTCAAGGATTTTAAAAGATGCATTAAGTCGAACAAGCTGTTTGAAAATACCAGAAGGTAATTAAAAGTTTTTTTATTGTTAATATATGCATGCTCATATATAAACGTTATTAATAACACTTTTTAATAGGTAAATATTACCTTCTTGATGCTGGGTTTATGCTAAGAAAGGGACTCATTACACCATTTAGATCAACACGTTATCACTTGAAGGAATGGTCTTCAAGAAATCCACCTCGAACAGCTCAAGAACTATTCAACCACCGACATGCATCCTTGCGTAATGCCATAGAGAGATGCTTTTGTATTTGGAAGAAGAGATTTCCTATCATTGCGACTGGAAGAGAAGCACACTATGACGTGAAGACACAAAATAGGATTATCATAGCATCATGCATTTTGCACAATTATCTCATGGTAGCGGATCCTGATGAGGAGTTAATGGCTGAAGTTGATGCAGAAATGACCAATCAAAATGAAGCTCAAATTTCGAGTTATGTGGAACACAACGAGATTGAAGAACATACTCATCTAGGAGAGAACTTGAGAAATGCTATAGCTAATTCTATGTGGACAGATTACACATCGTGATGTTTATTTTTTTTTAATTAGGAGTGAACCTTTGAATTGTTCTAACTTCTAAGGTTGTTTCAAACTTGAAAGATATTTTGACTTGTTGATTGATAATTAAATGATTGTCATTGATGCATAGTTTATTTTAAATCATATGTTCTTATTGAAGTTTTTCTTAGAACTAATATAATGGATTTATAGAGATGGAAATGGATGCTGCAACTGCCAGTTCTAAGGGTGTGAAGGCAACAGGAAAGAAGTACACGATAGACAGGGAGATATGGACAACAGATATGGACAATGAACTTGTTAATTCATTCCTACAACAACATAATGAAGGGAATAGAGTGAGCGGGACATTCACCACAAAGGCTTAATTGATTGGAATGTACTAGATAAATATAACTGCTAGTACTTACTTGAAATAAAATGTGAGACTTAATACGCTGAGATATTATTGCCCTATGATGGTTAAAGTTAGTTGTGTTCCTTTATACGTAGTATATTTATTTTTCATTTTGGTTTAATTTTTTGTCAAAAGTATGGGTATATAGCAAGTTTTTGGATATATTATACTTCAATTATTAAAAACTTTTTTAATAAAAAAACAATAATTTTTTGTTTGCTTTTTTGAAATTGAAATGTGAATTTAAATATTGTTATTTATTTAAATAATTATTATTCTCTCAAAAAAAAATTAAATAATCATTATGATGTTTTTTAAAAAAATATGACTTCATTTTCTGACCCTTTTTTTTTAACTTATTAGCTTACTAGTTGTTTTTACGTAATTTTTTTTATTTTGTGCACTATTTATATAATAATAAACCGTTTTTGGAAATTTTATAATTTTTTATTTTGAATTTGATATTACCATACTCTTCATAATTTATATATGTAAATATTGAAGCAATTTTTCAAGAAAAATATCAAAGCAACTAGTAATCTAATCTAAATAATAAAAATATATGTAACATTCAATGTACTATAATGTTTATACAATGAGAAAGGGGTACATGGGTCATTTTAAATATATGTCCTCCAAAACCCTCCACTTTTGGAATTTATAACTCCCAAACAAGAGGAGGGAATCCATTTCCATCTCCCTCCCCTTCCCCTCCCTCTACTCCCCCTCAAAGCCTTCCCCTTCTCTCACCCTCAAACTCCCAAACACACCCTTAGTGAATACCGAACCTACGTCTATCAAAGACTCAGAATGATTTTTTCACCAATGTCTATGAAATCTCAATTCACACTATTGTAGATATCATCTTTTTCGAGTGGAGATCGACTAATTTGGCCCCTCGATCACGTGTATTGTTTTATGGCAACCCCGGACGTGTGTAAACTCAACATATGTGACTCCGTTTTAGAAAGCTCAAGCAATGCGGCACATGAAGGTACTTTTATTTTTGTGAGCACAAAGAAAGTTTGATTCGTGGTTTTTTACTACGTATTACATATTGGCCGGGTACGTTAGCAACTTCAGAGTAGAACTTTGGAGGTTCCATCAGGCTCACAACCCACTTCTCCTTGGCTGCTACTCTTCATTTTCTCAAGGAAGCCATTTTATGTTCTAGCATACAATGCCTATACATAATACTCCTTACATAATAATACATCCATCAAAGTCATGATCCTTGAAACCGATGGCCCCAAGTTATGTTGTCTAATGTGAGATAATAAAGATGACCAAATTGTTTTTTGCTCTCCTTTACCCAAAAAGATATTATTTACGGAGTACTATCATATTTTGCAAAGCAAAACTTACCTCACTTGATGTATCCATATTTCAAGTTTCAACTATTCGGCTACAAAAAGTTCAAGTTTCAAGTATCAAGTTTCAAAAAGTTCAAAAATTGACTTTTTCAACAAGCATCAATGGAACCTACAAGTTTTCAGAATTTAGAGATTATGATAACTGAAACTGAATTTATACTCCCTCCGTCCCCTTTTTAATGTCCCGTTTTACCATATTAGGTTGTTCCTATTTAATTGTCCCATACCTTATTTGGTAAAGTTTGTGTGGCTCAAAGTCATTCTTACTTTATTCTTACTTTATCAATTTATATCAATCACAAAAACCCACTTTTCATAAAACTCGTGTCACTCTCTTCCATCCCAATATAAAAGAGACGGAGGTAGTATATAGGTGTGACCAAATATATACGTCGTACTCCGTATATATTATACGAGTAGAGATTACACTGGCTTTTGGGAAATACAACGGAATAACGGATTGTCAAAATGATCTCCCATCATGAGAGCCTATACCGTACACCCGGATGTACATGTACATCCGGTATTTTTGTAATTTTTTCTAATTTGAAGAACAATAATCAGATCCTCCTTCTTCCGTCCACCTCTTTCCCTGTTTCTTCCGTCCGCCTCTTTCCCTGTTTCTTCCGTTCGCCTCTTTCCCTGTGTGTATGTGGACTATGTCCGCACTCGGCAGTTCTTTTTTCTCAACCACCTTAACCTGCTTTTGCTTTGTTACTTGTAAGTAGTTTTCATTTTTATTTCTCTTTCCGTTTTATCTTAACTACCTTTTCATTGATTTCAATTTATGATGAATATTTAATGTGTTAATGTTTAATTTTTCTATTTTTAATTTAACATGAACATTTATTAATTTATGGTAAATCCCAATATGATTTAACTTCAATTCTTGGTAATTAAATTTTCAATAGTTTTGCTTATCTCCTGCACTGTTGTAATCCATAGCAATAGATATCATTGGAAATTGTGTTTGGTCTGATTTGACCTTGGCAAAAAGAACTAAAGTAGTAAAAAAACATGATATTCAATTGAAAATGCTTTTGATTCTAAATGAAATTTTGTATGCACACTTTAAGAATTCTAATATTCATTACACATAATCTTCATACTCAATAGTAGAAAACAATATACTCAATGAGAATGTTTTTATACTCAAATGAGACTTTTAAATTCTGTGTATTCAATTGCAATATTGTACTCTATGGAGGGCGTTTGATGCTCAATGAGCAATATTGTACTTTTAGTGAACATCTGGTCTATTTTATTGAGTATTAGGATGCTAACAATGAGTATCACGATCTCTGCTTCATATCTTCTAATCTTTTTTTTTCTTTTATAAAAACTTATTAAATTTTATCTACAATCCACTCTTATTAATTTCAATATGCGAGTGTAATGTAATATGATACTTTTAAAATATGCATTTATATGACATTGTAAAAATGAGCATAACATCAGTACCAAATGAGCATACATAACATATACAAAGTGCACATTGATAAGAAAATCGTAAGATTTGTCAGTTGAACATCATGACATTTTAATTGACCATCAACCTCCACTATTGAGATGAAAATCACGACTTCTGAAGAATGAGTAATATTGAACTTTTAATGAGCATCAGACCTATTATATTGAGTATTAGGAGTTCAATATTCAGAATCGTGATCTCTGCTTCATAACTTTTAATTCACTTTCTTTTTGTTATTTTTCTTTGATAAAAATTAATTACATTATATTTATAATCAACTCCTATGAATTTCAATATGTGAATCTAATGTAGAATAGTACTTTTAAAAATGCATTGATATGACATTTACAAAATGAGCATAAGATCAGCACCAGATGAGCATACATAACTTACAAAATGAGTATTAATGAATTTGTTAGTTGCTTTGTTAGTTGAACATCACGACATTTTAATTGAGCATTAATGAACTTTTGATGAGCGTTAATGAACTGTTAATGAGCATCATACCTATTATGTTGAGTATTAGAAGTTTAATATTCAGAATCGTGATATCTGCTTCATAACTTCTAAGTCATTTTTTTAATTATTTTTTGGTTTATAAAAACTTAAGAAGTAACTTAAGTAACGTCAATATCAAATGAGCATAAGTAACTTACAATATGAGTATTACACCGAGATAAAATGAGCATACATACTTACAAAACGAGTATCGAAAAAATTCAAAAAACTCACTTAAAATCTCCAGTATGCTCAAATAGTAAATGAGAATGCATAACCTATGAAATGAGTATCGAAAAAACTAAAATGAGCATTACACCAATATGCATGAGTATGACATTTTGAAATGTATGGTGTAATGCTCATTTTAAAATGAGTATTATACCAATATCAAATGAGTATAGATAACTTACGAAATGAGTATGTAAATGATATTTTAAAATTAGCATAAAACCGATATCAAATGAGTATATGTAACTTACAAAATGAGTTCTATAAATCAAAACATTAATACATAAAATATTTTATAATTGAATAACATTAAAGTAAAAAAAACGAAAGTGAAAAGAGAGAAGGAAACAAGTTAAAGCAGGAAAGGAAGAAAAGAAAAAACAAAACAAAAAAACGTAAGCAGAACAAAGCAAACATTGAAGCAGGACTCTTCGTCGAAGCAGGCCGAACATCAGTACCTCCTCCGTCGATTCCCAGGACATCAGCGTGCGCAGCAAACAGAACTCTTAGGCGGCTTCTTCATCCCTAACCTTTATCATCTGAGTTGTAATTAATTTCAAAAATACCCGGTTTTACGGTGAGAACCGTACAACCGGGTGTACGGTATATTTTGCGTCCCATCATACCTTTACCATCAAGTACAATTTCAGTACGTAATGAATTAAATGAGAGATTGAAATAGCTCGGCTGATGAAATTGCTCAAGAAGGATTTCTCTTAATGCTAATATATGGGTTTGTAAGTTTGTATAGTTTCTATATGGGTTAGAGGATAATAATCAAGTTCATTGAACTTTGTAATATTTGTAGAGGCATTGCTCTTTTGGGTCTTCTGGGTTAAAAAGGTGATGTCACAATCCGAAATGAAATTTCTTGATGATTCGTTCTTCGCACTGCACATGCCCATTTTACACGTATAGATAATTTATGATGTTTTTATTTGTACCATTTTTTAGTCTCAAAGTAATTCATACCTCACTTCCATAATTATAAATACACGGAGACCAAACATTTATCAGATCAAATC